ATAATCGTCATTGTTAATAATATCTGCAAGATGAAATCTTCAAAATTCAAATCTCCGGCTAAATGTCTTACATTTACTTATGCCTGATTATGTACATACTTGCCAGAAATCACTCTGTATAATAGCACTGAAACGCATCAGTGTTGCCTGTGCTAGCACCATAAGATAGACATAAAAGTATGATACATATTATTCAATAGAGCAAAGCAAGCTACAAGAGAGCATTCAAACAGTCGCAAAACTATGATCCACGTGAAGTCTGATGCAAATTATAGAGAACCCAAATTTTCCTAAAAAAACAGGATTTTGTCCGAAATGCTACCTGCGAAACTAACTTGATCACGCTTACCATATTTATAACATCACACACACACTTGCTTTAGGTCCATGGCATATCAAGAACACAAAAGTCGATATACGCTTGCCAAAGTAATGGTGAGCTATTCTATAGATAAATCAAGGGCAATCCTTTGTGAGTATAGCTGCAGATTTTCGGCTTTTTTCCAAAATTTTAAATTTGGCTTAGAAACAGAAAAAAACGACGTTTTTGTATTTTTTCCTGTTTTGTCTTTTGATTTCTAGTCATAGAAAAATCCGTTAACGGCACATTGAAGGTTTGCTGATGTGTTTCTCACATTTTTCATATAGGCCCGTAGTAAACTACCGTCAGGGCATCTCCCCTGAGGCGGACCGGAGTTGATATCTTGGCGCCTCAGTCCAGCATCCGGCAAGCTATTGATCTGGATGCAGATCGCCTCCTAGACATTATAACCAAGTGCGTTCTCGAAAAAACTGCTACTTGATTCGATTTGGTTAAATAGGTAAGCCATTGGAATTGCACGTGCGCGGCCGTGGTTCGACTCCGCCTAGCGACACAACTTTTGCTGCATCGCCGGGCAATCTTTGATAGCGGCCACTATCCACTCGATGATGACCGCTATCAAGGATTTCGCCTAGCAAACGCAAAGATAAAACAAAAAAACATTTTGTTACGAAAATTTTGCGACAAAACGAAATGGTTGCAACGTGAATTTAATGAAATGGACAAATGAGTCCTCGTTTTGGAAGCTTCAAAAAAACCAGTAAAGTTTACAAAAAAAGAAGAATTTGTTTTTTCTGTCTTCCTCGCCAAAATCAGCTGTTCATCGATCCTCTCCTTTTCGGGCGCGGTTGTGCAATTTTGCGCCGATTTTGTCCGCAGTGTTAGGCAAATTGCTGTGTATCGTAAGTTACTCAGGAGCAACTTACGTAGATTTTCTCTGCGTCTCCTCTTTAGCACACCATTTCTGGACATCATCGCTCATATCATCTCCCATGACCCGGCAGGGAGATCATCTCCCTTCCGAACTTCACCTGAGGCTCACCTCTCAGGTGACGTTGCATCCCTATAGCATGGGGAAATGGGCGGTCGTCATTTTACTGACAGAACCTCACATGAAGGTCTCAGGGGAGATAATATCCCATGACCGAGCTTTACTACGGGCCATAGTCTGAGGCAACAGGATAAGGAGCTGCATTCATGACACCACTAATTTCAAGTTCTATCAGTAACTTACGGATTTTTTGCTTGTCTGCTCCAACACTCCACTCCTATAATACATAAAATTTCCAGGAATCTTCAAAGAAGAGTGGAAAACGATGTAGAGCTTTCTTTTACGCCTTTGTTGCCATAATGTTCCTTTATTAGAAAGATATTCAAGAACAAGAGGGTACGCTACCTCAGATTCTGCCTTAAAGCACACTGGTTATCCACACGGCCCACTGCTTTAGATATACAACAGCTTTTCTTCGCATCTGACGGTTTTTATTTGACCTTCACACATCTCTCGTTCGTTGACGACTTTGGATGTTACACCACTATTACCACTTTACCTTTTTGCACATACCAAATTAAACTTTTATAACAGTTCGAAAATGGTTAAGAGCCTAATACAGAGTCACTGACTCCTTTCAGCCATTGGAATTTTCCTCTAATTGTTGAAGCCTTACAACAAAAAACAAATTTCTGTTTTTTAGAAAACTCGATTAGAACTACTGATATTGGGCTTTTTCAAAAAACTCATAAGTAGGCAAAATTTATAGCCAGAAAAAATGCAGTAACCTGATGACAGTTGCTGTGCCCGTAATGCTTTGTCCGCTTTGTTTCTGTCCTTAATGGTTTACTGGCTTTGTTTCGGCCATATTTTACATTTACTAGCTTGCACTTTACTTTCAATTTTAAGCCAGCGTTGCAAAGCGTTTGCAGTTCACCTTCAATTTTAAGCAGAGTTCAACAGACACATGCTTAAACTTCGCTAACGACTTTTGGATGTGAGACCACAAATTTACCACTTTACTCATTTGAAAACCTCGCAATTGGACACTTATAGCGATTTGAAGATAGTTAAGAGCTAAGTCGGAAGCTACTCCTTTTTAACTTACAAAATAACAATAATATGTGCTGTACATATAAGGCTATCGTTAAAGTTTTTCAGAAGTTAAGCTCCTTATAACAGGTGAGAACAATCTAATTATCATGAAATCATCCAAAATCGCTGAAATTAAACAGTTTTAGAAAACTCATCAGTATGAAATTATAGTCAAAACAAAGAATCTGTACTTCATCCACAATTTGACAGTTGCTGTGTACGTAATGATTTGTTGGCTTTGTGTCTGGCCGTGATGGTTCGCCGACTTTATTTCATCTATCGAATTTTACTATGTATTCTACCTGGTTGCTACGCCACAGACAAAAGGTTGGAATCAAGGTGGTGCAGAATCCAGCTCATTGTAGAATTTACAAGCTTCCCGTGCGCTCGTCAAGAGTCTGAGTTCACTCACTAAAAATGTCGTCTGCGACTGTCTTCATTGTCTTGGTTTTGGTGGAAACGGTGAGCGTCGGCGCATGCGGACAGATGAGCTCAATCAGATGTTGATCTTTAGGCAATGAATGTTGGAGTGTTCCGCTACAGCCCCAATGCTGGTCGTGGTTATCTAGTGTACGATATTTACTTAGAAGACAAGGCAATGTGCTTAAGGGCTTGCTACGAAGAAATCGAGTGCCAAGTTGCGAAATACGAGGTTTCAACTTGCTTTGAGAATCAAAAAACAACTGAGTAGTTTCTAGGAAAACACGCGATTATGCGCAATACACAGCAGTGGCAACTCCACAGAACCGGGATACATACTTTCACGTGGAGAGACGGATGCTGCCTGCACTTTGATAGAAATATCCGATACCGACATCGCTTTCCAAAAAATACCATCTCAAGATTTAGCAAAAGTGGAATGCAATGTGGTATCGGATGTAGCTATTATCGGCACCTATGAAATTTCCACTGGATATCGTTTCTTCGTTCTCAGTTCCAACAATATATCCAAACATTGGGCGGACATAAACCACAGGTTGAAAGTCCTTTTTTTCATTAGCTAACTTCTTTTTGACTGCATCAGGGTGTCGCAAAAGTTTTGCCACCCCACTGCAAAATTTCATTTACTCCTTCATTCAAAATTGCTAAATTTCTTCTTGAGCAGAAGAAATTATGCATATTAGCATCGATAGTATTGACCTCTAGAAACAAAACTAACAACAAATCAACAGATACACAACGATACTTAAATATACGAAAGAAAATAAATTTTTTGTTGCATTATATAAAAACGCTGATCCTACATGATGGAACATCGGCCCGCATGCGTTTACCGCAGAAAGAATTTCATCAAGAACTCTTCGGGGCACGTCTCACAGACCAGTGGCGGACCGAGGAGAAGGCGGGGGGAGGGGGGGGGGGAGAGTTTGAAACTCACTTACACGAGTTACAAAAATGTGGCTGACAGGTGGCTTATTTATACTTGTAAATAATTAATGAAACTTTTTAAAATTTCAAATTAGTCCTGCAACAAAATTTTCCGGGGCATGGCTATACTCGTCCCCTTCTTCTAAAATTTTGGGTCATGCCAGCAAAAAAATTTGGAAGCGATCAATTTTTTCGGGGTGCGTGGCAAACCCATGCACCTCCTCTAAAATTCCACCCCTCCCCCTTTCCTTCCAAACGGTAATCCTGGGAGCGCTACTGGCACAGACAAGCCACGCATACATATGACATATAGACAGACTCTCAGCTTTCTACATAAAGAAGTCGACAATCTCCCAGTTGCACTCTCAGCATTACTATGATGGTGGAACATAACCGTATTCGATATGGCACTGAAAAGCTGTTAAACTAGAGTTTCGTAACTTCTTTTACAAAACCGACGTATAAGGAAGACAGCTATCTTATCAGTGTCTCGAAAGACGTTAAGTATATGTACCTCCCAGTGGCATACCGAGCGGAGGGGGCGGGGGGCGCGCCGCCCCCCCTCCCTCCCCCCTCCGAGAATGGGTCGCGAAATTTTTCAAAGTCACTTATATGGGTTACAAAAATGTGCAAGTGACTTGTTTATTTTTAAACAATTGAAATAACTTTAAAAATTTTTAAAAATTCAAATTAGCCTTGTAAAAAAATTTTTTTCGGGGCGTGACTGACCCCGCGCCCCCTTTTTCTGGACTTTCGGAGTTGGGGACCCGCAAAAATTTTGAGAAGCACTCCTAAAATTTTTTCGGAGTGCGTGGCTAACGCCACGCACCTTCATTCGAAAAATTTTTTTGTCGCCCCCCCCCCCCCGAGCGGAAATCCTGGGTACGCCACTGGTACCTCCATGCCAAACACCAGTGCAACTCGGCATCCTTTCCTGTCGAAAAATGTTTAACCAGAAATTATCTCAATTTCGAAGGATTGATCATCGAATTGTAGCAAGGGATTTGATGAAATTTCTGACCAATAATTAGAATACGCTATTGATTTTCCTGAAAATACAATCATTCCTGTTTCACATAACGGTATGCTCCTTTTGAAATAAATTAAAACTGATATTGAAAGTGAAAAGTTATGAGGCGCAGAAATGGAGAGACAAAAGGCTCGCCAACATAGCACCCATCTTGTTTACATATTCTTCCACTCTCCTCACTGTGTTCGTTTAGGCTTCTTCTCTCCAAAAAAAAGGAGGAAACTTGCACGCCTGTCCCTATCTTCCACAAAGCAAGTAAGTGTGTAGACCAATTGGAAACATGTTGAGCCCCGCTTATCCGCGCTCAAAAATGTCATATAGGTTTAGTCCGCTTAGAAGGGAATGGTCACAAGTCGAAGTGGCCAAACCATACAAGCTGCATACCATTGAATGCAGCATAAAATGCTGAGTCTAAATCTGTCTTCCTTTGCAGAGCGCTTTTGTGGACGAAATTATAAGCAGTTGAAGGCGATTATTTTGCTAAGAAGTTGTGCGTGTAGGGTACAGACTTGACGGTACAAAGCCATTGCTCAGTGTTGGACCAAAACATGCAACCAAGTCATTTCATATGACCCGTACTCAAAGGTGAGCTGAAAGGGCAATAATGTGCCTAATTTCACAATTTTTGTATACGGTCTTTTCGCAGTAAAGCTGCTCATAACTTCGCCCACAAAGGCGCTCTGCAGATATGGAGGACAGATTTGAAATCAGCACTTCATGCGGCCACTTCGACTTCTGACCAGTTCCTTTTTAGCATATTCACATTTTAGAGAGGCATCATAGTTACCTGTATATTGGAGCGTACTTTCTTCAATACATTCGGCTCACATCTAAATGAGCTCACTAAAAAGAGTTAGACAAAAACTATTACGCTTGATAAACCTATCTGTTTATTGAGATGTTAACTGCAGAGAAAAAAAATTCTAGTTAAAGCGGGGCTAAATACATAGTTCACTAAGTGAAACAGCACTTAATTTGCAGATAAAGCTAGCAAATTAGAAGAAGTTAAAGTTTTCAACGTTTTAGACTATCGTCGCCTGTATTTCGGTGAAATCTACAACACCACTGGCTACTACTTCTACAACGCTTACGCCTATGCAGACTACTGCGTTACTCCAGAGGGTGAATGCTTGGGCGTGTTGGAGATTCAAGAATATGTGGACATATTTGGCTTTCACTTTTACGATAAGGCTGGAAGAGAGGATGCAACAGACTCCGGTTTGGAACAGAGGTTCTACATCGCAGGCATTGAAATAGTTACACCTTGATGTGCTGTCAATGAGTTAGTGGTTGTGATTGTATCAATAAGCGGCAATAAAGCTTTTGGGGCGGAAAGCCAGTTTTCTATTGTTTTAGAAAACGGACTTTCATGGTTTTTTACCATGTGAAGTGAAGTCATTTTTGTACATTATAGTAGTATTATGCAAATGTCCCTACTGTTTCGCTCTTGGTTTTCTGAAAGTATGAAATGCCGTGAAGGCTAAAGTAGTTAGTGACGCCATTTTTGGCACTGAATGCACGAATATTGAAACCGCTCATGTGCAACTCTACAGTTCGCAGTCAGTAAAAAGATTTGTTTTTTGTGAACAGTTAACCAGAAGCAGTCTTCTGCGGCGCAGCTTGGAGGTTTGCCTAGTGTGAGGGCCCACACTAGTATGCCATCATAATCTTGCCAACCTCCATCTTATGTGGACGGTGCCTTTGAAAACGCTTATAGGGTGTATTCAAAGCAAAAAAAGAGCTCTATAGAATTTCGTCGAACATCCACCTAGACATTCATTCATTTAGAGGTTAAAACCGTAGGTTATACTGCTCCCTTTTTTCAATTAACAGCTCTAATTATTAGGTTGTACCGAAAGTTCTGTCGTTTCATTTTTGAAAATTTGTAACTTCGCGAGATTTCAACGGACTTGCTTGCTTGTAATTTTATTAAAAAGATTACGTCTTCCGCTTTCAATCGCTGTTTTGTTTAGCTTCCCTTTCACACTGAGTGCAGAGATAAAAATGGAAAACTAAGACCATGTAAACTTTGACCATTTTAAGTTAGGTTACCAAAAATCTGGAAATCTGCAGAAAAATCTGAAATCGTCAGTACATATGTTTTTTGACCTACCCTTTGCATCTGTGAAGAAATTCTGCTGTTTGGACGTCTCCGTGAGAAGTTATGATTTTCGCGGAAATTGACAAATTAATTAATTTTGGCCTTTTCCATAGTAAACTCGATATTCATAACTTCTCACAGAGACGTCCAAACAGCAAAATTTTTTTACAGATGCAAAGGGTAGGTCAAAAAACATATGTACTGACGATTTCAGATTTTTCTGCAGATTTCCAGATTTTTGGTGACCTAACTTAAAATGGTCAAAGTTTACATGGTCTTAGTTTTCCATTTTTATCTCTGCACTGAGTATGAAACGGAAGCTAAACAAAACAGCGATTGAAAGCGGAAGACCTAATCTTTTTAGTAAAATTACAAGCAAGCAAATCCGTTGAAATCTCGCAAAGTTACGAATTTTCAAAAATGAAACGACAGAACGGTACAACCTAATACATGAAACTTCAAAAATTTGCGAGAAGCACGATTTACTTGCAGGATAACGAAACATAAACTTTTCAAATTGAAAAGTTTCTGCTAACCCAAAGTTTTAACGTTTACGCGCATATCTTTGCATCGAACAATTACAAAACTTGCTGTAATCGTATGGCTAAATACTGAGGAATATTAAGCCAGAAATGTGATCAGCCTTTTTTAGGTTTTCTATAATGAATTGTTGGAATTAGTAGTTTCCAGGAAATGAAATGCGCCTATGGAAGACTAAAAATCTGTATACTCGTGTAATTCGAGCTGTAGATTTATTTATGTGATACAGCTCAGCATCACTCTGACAGAATCATGCTAATTTTCTTTTCTTTACTTTCTAATCGAGTTAAAAAACGGCAATTGCAGATACAAGTGTGCGTGTCTGGTGGGAAGTAAATGCTTGAGCAAGTACGAAATCAGCATGGCTTTTTTTCAACGAAAAACCGAATTTTCGTTTTTTTTTCTGGCTTCTTGCACATTTGAGTCTAAATTTCACACGGAAGAAACTTGGTGGGAATGCTTAAACGCCTATTAGAAAGCACACTATACTCCATCGAAAGATAACAAACCATATTAAGGATATAGGATTATGATTTAATAGGGTAAAGAATCAAATCCAGGAGATATATTACAATCTATTGTATTACTCATTCTCAAAGATTCTCTTGCTACTTATAGACAGATAAAAAAAAGAGAACATTCGAGACTCATTACTAACAAGCTTACTTGGTCGAATTGGCCTTTCTAAGAGATGTATACCATATTAAAGCGCATAAAACACTGATTCCAAAACTGCTTTCCTTATCTGCAGAACATTCATGGACAAGAAGTTATGAGCATTTTTTTGGGAAAAAAATTGAATGTACATTATAGATAAAATGAGTTGCTACAATCTTACTAGACCTAATGCAACCAAGTGTGATATATTTTATTTTAGATCATTTTTCAATAAGGTGCTCTGATGATCATCACTGCTCCACTGAAAAGCTAGAAAAGGTATACGGCTATTTTTGTCTTACTTGCACATTCAATTTTTTTGCTTCAAGAAGAGCTCATAACTTCTCATCCGTAAACGTTCTGCAAAGAAGACAAATTTGGGATCAGCGTTTTACACCGTTCATTATGTTATACATCCCATCTAAAAAGGCCACTTTGACTAAACATGTAGCCCTTGTAAGAAGGAGAAATTATACAAGAAGTAAGAAGCCAATGTAAATTACCGCGGTTTGTACCCGCGAGGTAATGCAAAATAGGTCCAAGATTCTTGCCAAGGAGTCTCATTTAGATAATCCTAAAAACCTTTACATCTTTATGTTTCCATTGTTGAACATATTTGTAAACTTCATGGTAAACCTTGCGTTTGAATATGTTAGTTTGCATATCATTTCTGCGCTTTCACTGTGACAAGTCATACACTTCTTGTTCTAAATAGAAATCAGGATACCACTCGATAAAGCACAGCAAGCTCTATAAGATGGCGTTTATACTTTTGCACCTGCTTCGATCCATCTTAAGTTTGAAAATAAAATCTAAAAAGTTTCGGATGCCCAGAAAATTGAAATTCTTTCATATCTTCGTTCAAAAAAGTCCTACAGATCCCTCACTCGCTCACGCATATACACTCCACATCAGACATTCATACGTACTGTTCCTGTATTTTTTTATTAGCTAGAACTCAAGAAAACAAAAATTTTCATGTTTTTACCAGATTGATGCTGCGCTGTTCTTACATTAACAGCTGTATACTACAAGAAGTAAAACCGTAAATTTTTAGCTCTCTATGAGCTCTGGTTCCCGAGAAATATCGGATTTAGACTTTTCTCACTTGGTTTTTCACGCTTGACTCAACATTTATCGGAAACCAAAGCTTATATAATAGAAAGCAATTTACGGTTGTATTTCTAAGGGCTTGTAGTACACAAATATTAGTGCGAGAACGGCGCATCATCACTTTGGTAAAAACATGGAAATTTTTGTTTTCTTGACTTCTAATTAAAAAACACAGAAACAGCACGTATAAATGTCTGATGTGGAGTATATATGCGTGAGCGAGTGAGAGATCTGTACGACTTTTTTGAACAAAGATATGAAAAATTTTTAATTTTCTGAACATCCGAAGCTTTCTAGATTTTTGGTTTCAAACTTGAGATGGGTCGAAGCTGTTACAAAAGTATAAATGCCATCTTATAGAGCTTGCTTTTCTTTATCGAATGCTGTCCTGATGTCTATTTAGAATAAGAAGTGTGCGACTTATTACAGCGAAAACTCAAAATGACTAGACTTATGGGACAACCTAATATATTAGGTTGTAACATAAGCCGAGACACTCTAATTTCTTACGGTAATAAATCATGCAATTCACAACTTCGATAGGGGTCCGGGGCAATTCGTTAGAGCAAAGCAAGCCCTACAAGATGGTCTGCAAAAGTCCGCCCCAATTTCGTCCCACTTCAAGTTTGCATCCAAAATGTGAGTTTACTGAAGGCTCAGAAAATAGCGAAAAATTCATATCTTCGTTCGAAAAAATCCTACAAATTTCCAACTCGCTCAGTAAAATTGCACACTACAGGGTGTCCCAAAAGTCTTTAAGCCTAGTTTTTTCTCAGCTGCAATTGTACGAAGCAACATTGTCACATGAAATTTAGCAGGAATCTTGTGAGGAACCTACAAAATAACAGAGTACACTCAATTTTTTGAAAAAAACCCTTATTTGGCCTTCACACAAGCCTTCACATTCTTGCGGAACGCATGCATCGTGGCAGACGGATAGTTGACGTCAAGAATGTCTCACACGTTCTGAAGCAAGCGTTCCAGACTGCCCAAAATTTAGTGTGGAACAAAGCAAGCCTTGCTTTCTATGACTGATCACGAGAAGTCAAAGGCTCTTGAGCTGACGATTAAAAGCACCTTGATCTGAGAAGTAGGTCTACGAGATTCAACAAAAGTGTTAAAATGTAGCAATCAAGTTCTTGAGAACATCAAGAAAACAGCAATTTTGTTGTGCATAGAACGACTTTAAAATGATGATTTAGTAAAGAATGCAGAGCTTACAGCTAAAGATTAGCTTTCTCGGATTTTTGTTTCCAAAAACTTTTTCTTCTTGTTGACACGGCACTACTTTGAGTGTTTGTATCTTAATCCTGCAACAATGAATAGAGATTACTAATTAATTTTGCAGTGTAGACGTAGAGTGAAGCTAGCTCTACAATATGCAATTCAAGACTCCGCAAGAGCTTCAAAGGCAAAAGAGCTATAGATGTTTAAGTGAAATTGGGTTTACACTGGGTCTTCCTCAAAATCGTAGTATTGTTTGCTCCAAAAACAATATTTTGAGAATGTACAGCGCAAATGGTAAGATTTTCTTAAGGAATACTAAAAACTAAACGGAGTACTCATAAGCCGAATTTGACTGAAAAGCGAGGAATAGTAACAAAGTTACTACGTTGAGAATCTAGGCTCAAAGACTTTTGGAACACCCTGTACATCAGACACTCATATTCCTGGATTTTTTTCTCATTTAGAAGTCGAGAAAACAAAAATTTTTATGTTTTTGCAAAAACGGAGCTAAGCTGTCTTCACTCGTGTAATTGCATACTATAAGCCCTTAAGAGTATAGAGTACCGTGGATTTTCAGTTTACCATAGGCCCTAGTTTTCGAGAAATGTTGATTTTAGCTCTCTTCAGTTGGGTGTTTCATGCTAAAATCAGCATTTTTCGAAAAGTAGGGTTTATGGAAAGCTGAAAATTTA